CGGTGAAGGTGTTCTTAAGAAAGAACCGGTGTTTTAAAGAATCTGCGTTTGTTGTGTGATCTTTTACTACAAAATTTGTTATAACAAGGTGAGTTTAACTACTGTTTTGATATAACTTGTGAGTTTTTGAACTACGATCTGTTTACAAACCGCGAGTTTATATCTACTGTTGATTTTGTAAGCTTTTGAGTATTGATGGTTTGAAACTTAAAAGAATTTGGTAAAACTATTCTGTTTAAGTTTTTAAAGGAAATATTTTGTGATTCTGAAGTTTGAATCTGTTTTGGAAAAGATTAAAGCAGAAACTATGCTTTAAAAGCAGTTTTGGATTTGATATCCTGTGTTGAGGATTTWAAGAGGATCAGATGATTTGAGAAATCATTTACAGAACAGATTGTTCTAAGAHTCGAAAGGTTTTGAATATAAACCTATTTTGAGATTATGATTGGTTAAAACTGTAGACGAGGTTCACTCTGACGTATGACTTTGTTCCGTCATTGGATGAAATAGTCTATAGATTTTGGTTAAAACTATGAACGAGGTTCACTCTGACAGTTATGCCTGCAGCCTGTCATTGGATGAAATAGTTCATAATATTTTCAGGGGAAATAAGGATGGTCGTTGTGTGCGATGGATAGCTGTTGCTATAAAGGGGAAATTATGGATGTAATAAGGATGGTCGTTGTGTGTGCATGGTATAACTATTGCTATTATATCTYTTAAGATTACAACAGATTGGAGTTCTCATTTCTTGGTGATTTGAGGATTCAGAGATGTTGTTCTTATTAGAAATAATAGTATTGATGTTATGGTTAYGGGAAARTAYGGCCTATGGTCATTGATTTTGATTAAAAGTGTTTTGAAACAGAATACGATTTTCAGCCTTTACTATATGGAATGAATTATCTGAAATTAATGTTTTGGTGATCTTCACYCTGCATTACATAAAAAGGGAACCTCACTAGACATACATGTCTAACCCTCATTTTTGTGTTTTCAAAAATATGTGTGCAGGTAATGATAATAAGAGAAAGAGCATTATGTGAATTACTTCCCTATTGTGTCAAGACCTTAATTAGCTATGTTTTTGGAACATAGATGCTAGGATACAAGAGCATGTACTTTTTGAATTTTTGAGTTATGTATTTCA